AAGCGTTGATTTGTTTAGGGGATGGGTGCCCCAATATCAGCCTCCCTCCCTTCCCCCTCTTCAAGGCAGCAGCCCGCTGCCTGGGTCTCAAAACCCACAGGGCCCAGTTACTTTTGCTGCAACGTATGCACGACCGTCGATGACAGACAGGTGTGAACGAGGAGGCTGACAACAAGGCGCGAGACACACATAGTGACTCAGTCATAGTTGGAAGAACACGCGCACGGAAGAGAGAGAGCGCCATAAAGACGAGGACCATTGGCCAAAGTGTCCATTCTCATAAGATGGATAGACGAGACAACTCCTCGAAACGTCAGGCTTATAATAAACCTCTCCCGGTGACCGCTCCGCTTTCTTCTGATTTATGACCGTATTTATTTGTCCTTGCAGACTCTGCGCAGCCCCAATGTAACGCACGCCACACCCATCTAAAGCGAGGCCTTTGCCAACTGCAGATAATTGTTTGCCAACTAGACGGCATACATAGACGCACATACACAAAGTATCAGCAGTGACTCATGTCATACGCTCGGAGCAGCCTCCCCGCCAAAGAAGGTTTTCAGTTTGCTAAATGTTCACATTTATATTTCCAGCTTCAAGGCCAACTACATGAACAGCCTGTCTGTAGGTCCCAGTGCGGCAAGTGCAAATATTATATCTAAGGCTATTTACTTGGGCTGCGAGCGAATTCAAATTATTGTTCTCACAAAAGTTGACGACTTGTAAATTCAGGCGAGTATTATCAGACCCTACTGGTTAAAGTGGTTACAAGAAGGATAAGGAAGTAAGATATTGGCAAATATGGAAGCTGCGGTAAAACCTATCGTCCATAAATGACTGACTGATGAGAGTCAAAGGTCAGTATGTATCAGCGCAAATGGATACCGTAAACAAGTTTAAAAGGGGAAGAACAGGAAAACAAACAGTGACACACTTGCATATAAACACGCTCTCCGACGATGTAAAGACATGACCGCAGGATGAGCGCACTTTGGGGCAAATGGCAGTCAGATGAGCATTGAGGGAAGCCAAATGAGCACCATTCTTGGACATTGGTCGTTTACGTAAGCCAACACGGACTGTTTTCTTTGCCGCGGACGTTTTGCCTTGTTCAAGGGCTAGAAACGCTTCAAAATCGGCGAAGATTGAAGTCAGCAGGGTGTTGTACTCGGAAAGCTCCACATCTAATGAGATTTTCATAGTTGAAAGATCAAAAAACTGAGTCACGTCAACAGTAGGCATCTTCGGTTGGCAAACTGCAAGTGCCACCTCCCTTATACGTTGGTAAAGAAGTCGCTCGAAAGTCTCCCTGTCCGCACAGGTGAAAGCATTTTCAAGATTCTGAAACGCAACCAAAAGGTTTATTCGAAGGAGAGCACAAGGAAAAGATGTGCACATAAGTTACGTGTCTGATGCGCATGGGATAAGTGCGAGTGCATATATAGTAGGTGAGCGTTGGCCGATCATGCTACGGCACCTCCTCATCCAGTTTCTCTTTTGAATTAAAGTAAGAACCATCGTGCAGACTTGTAAGTATGATAGACCAGAATCGAAATATCTGATTTGTTATATTTCGTCAGTCATCTATAGTTAACTCTGAGTAAAAAAAGCCTTTGAGGCTCGAACAAACAAACCGTTGGTTGGAAGTTCAAAACTCTAACCAATGAGCGAAGGACTCGTTGTCCTGCAGTTTTCAATCGGCTGCATACTAAGGATAGAGTAGCGCTCACTAATCGCGTTACGCTACATACTCGTCCCTTCGTGTATCTCTCGAACTTCGCCAGCAGCCGAACAGTAACAAGATCTTTTTTTCGACAAGTAGCAGGGGTTACGTTTCCAATACTCAGTAAATTGATGAAAAGGGCAAAGGCCTCTACAGAAAAATTCACATGCTCCAGCTTGCAGTAAATTCGGAGAATATACTGCTTATTGTATATGGCCACATACAGCAGAAGAAGGAAATGAGAGTTATCGGCCGAGCAAATGGGGAAATGGTCAATGTGGTCTTACGTCATCAGTGCATAAAGGACGAACTTCGCTTGCTAAAGAGAGATTGGATAGATAGGGTTCGTTGGGTCAGGTCACCAAGTTAAACAGTATAAATTTAATTTCGAGACAACGCCATTTGTCATACTGAGGAGTATGTGAATTTTTAACGGTTTGAATACCTGCTTAACGCATAACCAATATCTTATAAAACCATGCTCTGATCAGTGTGATGTCAACTCTAGTTATGGCAAGGCTACAACGCAAATATTTAAAGACACGTTAGAAAAATAAACCCTGAGTTTCACAGACAGAGCAGTCGAAACAGTGATGAACATTTTCCGTTTATCTGCTATATCTTGTAAGACTATAATCAAGTGAATGAAGGATTTTTTTGCTGAAAGGTTTACATTTTACCTTCAAAATAAAGCATTCTCTCTCATAAAACCAGCTTGACCTATGCGGATGGAGGCCGCTTCAATTTGACGGTAAATTTTAATGATTTACAAATGTTTTATGAAACGGCTTTGAACCATCAAGGTATTTAAGAATAACAAGTGCAAAATAAATGTGAAAAAGACGCCAGTACTGATCTCAGCGCAAAGACAAAAGGATAACGGGCGGACACCGTTGATTAATAATGACTGTTAGAGGAAGGCATTTTCGCCAGCCTATTCGCATCCACTCTCACCGTCGGATAGGGTGACATACGCATAACTTAATTCAGAGAAAAATCATAAAGTCCGGTTTAAAGGCATCGCTTATTTTCAAAGGCTAAACGTAACCGGAATGCCGATAAGGCCATAAAAAGTATAAGTCGGCGAAATGCTATGGCAATAGGAAAAATATTTTAAACTTTAGTTTTGTCATTTGCAGCCCTGCCTTCCACCAATTTACTCCTTGCTTGCTGACCGATATTCTCATCGAATACGCAAAATATATAAGTATTTCAAGCATTCAATGAGGGATAAATCACACAGATAACACTTTCGTTGCTTAAAAATTTTCTAATAGAGATTGCTTACCTGGAGGAAATCCAATGAAGATGTCGGCTTTGCAGTTGATGACATGACGCGAATTATAAATATGCACACTGAACGATAATCCTCGTCAGTAACACTGCATTTTCAGAAGGTTGTCCACGTAGTTTTTTATAAAATAAATAAGATGGAGTGTTGAGAGCAGACATAAGAAAATTTAGTTGATACGGAATGCTAGTCCTTACATTTTTTGAAATATTTCAATCAAGCGAATCGTACGAAAGGGACCCTTCCAACGGATTTACATTATTGTTGGTAACTTGAGCATGCCCATGAAACTTGCATGAGAATTTTAGAGTATTCAACCCAGTGGTACTATGCACAACCAGATATGAAAGTCAAACTAGGCAAATTTACCGGACGGCCCCATTAAAGACACGTAATTATATAGACAAGTTAATTTGAAAAAGAGCCGTTGTCCAACGCTTAGGTTTGAAAATAAGTGTTATCATGATACTGGCATCGTGCTTCAGAGGCAAAATAGTTAGTTTTAATGAGGTTTAAGAAGCAATGTTTGCAAACAAGAAATAACTATTGCCTTGAAACAGAACGCCGAGGAACCCAGTTTTCGTCGAGCAACCAGGGCAACGTCACCTTTTAAGAGCCTGCGCGTAAAGTTTCATGATTTGCAGTACTGTGAGACTAAATAAGTGCGCCTATATCGAACTGCTCTATTAAAGTCAGTCTCGGAGTGAATACTGTTTTTACCGAGGGAGAGTCTCCACATTTTCCGCTGAACATGTGCCATACTTGAAGCAACAGAGGCTCGTCTGACGTAGAAAAGGAGGCTTCCCTAGGTTCCGTTACAAAAGAGTCCTCACTATATTTTGTGGATCATGTTAATATTTCCGGACAGTTAAAAATTTCGACTTTGGATATTGAAACCGATCGTGCAAGGAATTGGATACCAAAACTTCAAAATGTGCGAAGCTCGGACATTGCGAATTAGTTGACTTCAGGAAAAAAAGAACAAGAAAAATAAGAAATATAGATAAAAACAAAGATTGCAGTAGTATGGGACTGCTTTATGCGATACCAGTTAACTTAATGCTTGGTTTCTACTTAAGGGGATCTGCCAACTATCACTACGACAAGAATAGGCCAGTGTTCTAGCACACTGTACACTAGTACAGCTGTAAGTTAGCTGATGGTACTAAAGCGAAAAACCCAATATCAAATTGGACAAAGACTGAGGTCTTTGTTACTGATGGGATGCGGTTTTCCGGAGGAGCTTACAAGGATTTGCGTGAATAGTTACATGTGTGAATAAATTGGCCGTTCCTCGGAAGCAGCTTCGTGCTACCTGGTAGCTATCGGACAATAATATAGTATTGTCCGATACCCATCGCATGCGATGGGTAGGAGTAGGAGCAGGGGATTGGCGCAGCTGAACCCCGAAAACTTAATTGAAAGCGACCAATTGTAAATGCCAGGAGAACACGCACCCGATAATCTGCGCACATTTGCCGATCACTGCATCCCACAGCGCACAGTCACATGTGCAATTGATAAGGAAAGGGAGAAGTGAGCGTCACCACGGCAAGAAATATCTATTGTATGGGGCTGGGCAATCAGTTCGTACTTTTTGGGCTCATAATATTGGCCCAAAAAGAGAAGCCTAGTTGAACTAGAGTGAAGAGGAAGCCCTGCCAGCACAAATCAATGATTGGACGGGAATGGCGCCTGGGGAATCAGGGGGAATACGGGGATAATGGTTTACCGTACACATTTTCAGAAATCTACCTTTTATCAATAAAGTATTAAAAACTTTGTCTTCCGACAAAAAATTCAGTTTGGAGGCTTGAAATTGAGAAAATGGGGCGTTCCCTGTGAAAACCTTTTCTGGGGGCAGGTGAATAAAGTTTGAGATGCCCGTCCTGAGCCGCGCAAAATCTGGTGATCCCTGTTCCCTGATTGGACGGAGCTCATTATGGGCATTTCAATCCATATTCCTTTATCGCCGGAAAAATGCTTTCTTGACTGGACGCCCCGTTTTCGGATTTTTAAGTTCCCAAACAGATTGTTTTGTCAGAGAACAAAATTTTTAATAATTTGTTGATAAAACTGTAGATTTAAAAAAAACTGTACTATTAAAAACTTCGTTAATCAAAACACTTATACGTATTCCCCCGGGCACCAACCCCGTCCAATTCGGCGATTGTGTTTGCAGAATATTCTCGCAATTTACGTAATGGAGGAACAAACTTGTGCAAATATGCTCTGAAGTAATAAGATAATCCTAATGGCAGCACAGCCGACTTGAGAATTGGTTGTATTATAGGCGAATTACTGCAATAAGTAATCCCATTTGCTTCGGGTATCGCGACAACGCATATACTTCGGCATAATCATAATCTCACCATTCGTCGAAGGCCACTGACGGTGTCTACCAATTGTCTTTCGGCACTTAGTAGGTTAAAATAAATTCTTTCTTCGAATATTTATCTGTCGTACCACAATTCAAGCACCCACTTCTATTGACCGTTGTCCCAATTATTTTCCAGCACTGCAATTTTACTTGCAGTTCGCGATCATCCTTCGTAGTGAGTCATCCTCCTCGCTAACTTAGATATTTGTTGAAACACTATTCTCAGTTGCTG